GAAGCAGAAGCTTCCAGATAAGAAATGAGCTAAGCTGGTGACTCAGGACTGGAGGGGCCATTAGAGTGGGGGCCCAGGGGGCACAGCTGTGACACAGGGACTGACATCCACACATAGGGTGCTTAGGCCTCCACACACAGTAGAGGACCAAAGGATAATTATAACTGAAATTAAAGAAGGGGGGCCTTGGGTCTCAGGAACACTGGGCACAATAAAAAGTACAAGAAGAGACAGGGATGAGGATGGGGGCGGTTAAGTGAGAACCAGCACCAGAAATGGCCAGCCCCCCACACCCCCCTCCATCCCAGCCCTCTGGCCAAGAATATACCTCCCAGGACATCCTAGGAGTCTCTCTGAAGAAACTGAATCACCTCAGAGAGGAAAAAAAGGTCTAGCGAACAGTAATATTTATTCAGTCTTCTAATAAAACAGCTGGCTCCCTGTCCCCAATCATCTTAAAGTGAAGCCTACCAGGTGACAGTGCACCTCGCACACACAGCTCCCAGTCACTGCTAAATACAGACAACCAGGAAAAAATATATATAGGTACATTGGATTTCATCAAAATTAAAAACTTTTATGCTATCAAGAATGTGGAAAAAAAATGCAGATTAGGAGAAAATATTTGCAAATCATATATCTGATAAAGGACTTCTATCTAAAATATATAAAGAACTGCTACCTCAATGATAAAAATATACATAGCCCAATTTATTTTTTTAAGAGAAAGAGAGAGAGAGAGAGAGAGAGAGAGAGAGAGAGAGAGAGAGAGAGAGAGAACGAGCAATGTAGGGGACAGGGGGTGTAGTTCAGTGGCAGAGTACATGGTTAACATGCACAAGGCCCTGTGTTCAATCCACAACACCATAAAAGGGAGGAAAAAAGATATACAATTGATCAATAAGCAAAATGGTTAATTAAGGGAAGAAAAGATGCTCATCCTTTGTTATCAGGGTAATGCAAACCAAAGCCACAAGAACTACCATGCCACATCCATTAGGATAGCTACCATCACAGAGAATGAGAATATCAAGTGTTGGTGAGGATGTGCAGAAGCTGGGAGCCTCAGACACTGCAGGTGAGAATGTAAAATAGTGCTGCCGCTTTGGAAAACAGTCTGATAGTTCCTTAAAATTTAAATAGGTAGGGCTGGGGATGCAGCTCAGTTGGTAGAGTGTCTGCCTCACATGCACAAGACCCTGGGTTCAATCCTCAGCACCACAAAAAAAAAAAAAAAAAAAAAAAAAGGTAAATAGATAGGGTCTGGAGTGAAGTTCAGTGGTAGAGAACTTAACTAGTATGTACAAAGCCCTGAGTTCCATCACCAACATTGCAAAAAAAAGAACAGAGTGTGCACATCTATAATCCTAGCTACTACACAAAGGCCGAGGCAGGAGGATTTCAAGTTCAAGACCAACCTTAAAAAGTTGTTTATGATCTAGATTCTTTACCCAGTCAAATATCAAGCAATCAAGTATAAGGATACAGGAAAATGACATTTCAAATAGGCAAAGTCATTGATCTGCCATGCATCTTCTCTTTTTTCTTTTTTGGTACCAGGATAGAACCCAGGGGTGCTTTACCATCGAGTTATATCTCCAGCCCTTTTTATTTATTTTCTATTTTGAGACAGGATCTCACTAAGTTGCTACACATCTGTTCTAAGAAGGTACTATAGGATATGCTCCAGCAAAATGAGTTGGGTACACTAATGAAGAGAGAACTATCAGATATAAGAAACTGTAGGTTCATTATAGGAGAGTCTCCAGATGACAATTATAGAGTAATCAGTCTAAACGAGAGTAGGAAAATAGAAGCATTTTGGTGGTAAGAAGATTTCCAGGAGAAATCTGGAGTAGATAATTTAACTATGAAAATACATAAATTTCTTTTTTTTTTTTTTTTTTTTTTTTGTGGTAAGAAGGTTTTCCGGGGAAAGGGGGAACCAATTATTGGTTTTAGCAGTTGGGAAAAAAAAACATTTGTTTTCTATTTTTATATGGTGGTTCTAATAAAGCAATTTTTAAAATCTTTTTTTTTTTTAGAGAGAGAGAGAGAAAGAGAGAATTTTTTAATATTTATTTTTTAGTTTTCAGCGGACACAACATCTTTGTTTGTATGTGGTGCTGAGGATCGAACCCGGGCCGCACACATGCCAGGCAAGCGTGCTACCGCTTGAGCCACATCCTCAAACCCAATTTGTAAAATCTTTAAAAATAAGCTTATTTTAAAATAAGTAAGGGTAAAAGCCATTTATTTACAAGAAAAAAAATCCAAATATTGTACAAGAAATGAACATAATTTTTTTTTTGGTTCATTGGTGATCAATCTACATTGTCAAAAAAATGAAAAGTGTATTATTTCTTTTACTAAAGTACATTACTTATTCCATATGATTACATTGGGATAATAAGGGTAAACATGATATCATAACCCATATTTTTTAACATTTTTTTTGGTACTCGAGATTGAACCCAGAGGTGCTTAACCACTGAGCCACATCCCCAGGCCTTTTAAAAATATTTTATTAGAGACAGGGGCTCACTGAGTTGTTAAGTGCCTAAGTTGCTGAGGCTGGCTTTGAACTCATAATCCTCTGCCTCAGCCTCACAAGCTGCTGGGATTACAGGTGTGTGCCACCATGCCCGGCTCATAGCTGATATTTTTTACCATAATGAAATATGTAATGTCTTAGTCTCAACATCAAGGTGTAGCAATATAAGCATATTATTTAAAATTCAGGTGATAAAACTCAAATAAACAGTTAACATTTATAGACATTGTCTCTGGGACTTGGACATGGGTGTAGGGTGGAACAGACAAAAATCTGATATTTTCATTATAAAAGCCTCTTGGAGTAGATAATCTAACTATGAAAATACATTAATTTCTTTTCTTTTTTTTTGGTGGCAATGGGGGGGGGGGTACCAGGGATTGAACTCAGGGGCACTCAACCACTGAGCCACATCCCCGGTCCTATTTTGTATTTTATTTAGAGATAGGGTCTCACTGAGTTGCCTAACGCCTCGCTTTTTGCTGAGGCTGGCTTTTGAACGCGTCTCCTCCTGCCTCAGCCTCCTGAGCCACTGGGATTATAGGTGTGAGCCACTGTGCTCAGCCTACATTGATTTTTTTAAAAAGATCAAGTTCGGCGTGGTGACACATGCTCCTAATCCCAGAGAATAGGGAGGCAGAGATAGGAGGAACACAAATTCATGGTCAGCCTCCCCAACTTAGCAAAGCTCTTATCTCTAAATAAAAAGGACTGGGGGTGTAACTCAGTGTAAAAGCACCCCTGGGTTTGCACCCTAGAAATACAAAAAATAAACAAACAAACATAATAATTTTTAAAAAGATCAATGGGCTGCGGAGGCAGCTCAGAGGCAGAGCGTGTGCTTGGCATGCGAAAGACCCTGGGTTCAATCCCCAGCGTTGAAAAAAAAAAAAAAAGAAAAAGAAAAAGATCAAGTAAAAGAAAAGATGACTTATTTTTCATCACAGCATAGATTAAATGCAGACTTTAATAGAATCAAGACCTTCCAGGATCCAAGTCACCTTCCCAGTTTTGTTATTCCCTCTCACATAGCTTCCCCCAACACCTTCCCACTTCTTTCCATGTTTGGGGTTCACATGCTCCCAGGCTATACTGGGGTCCCCATCTCTGCCTTTTGTGATCCTGCTCACCCCTAGGGCCAGGTCCAACTTCCATCCTGTTTGCAGAACCAGCTATTCCTGTGAGCAGAGTGTGAAAACATGGGCCCCAGGGACCATTCCAGTGTTTGCCTCTTCTGGAGAGAGCCAGCCTTGTGGGCTTAGTTGTGAATGACAGCTGGCCTTCCCAGCAGGGGCCTGAGAGCCACCTGGAATGATATATATATATATATATAAACTTTTGTGTGAATACTTCCTTTTCTAGGACAATAAGGATTTCAGATTATCAAAACAGAGCAAATAGGGGTGAGAACTGCAGAGCAGAGGTATTAAAAGAAGCCTGGCACAGTCCCCTGGGCATTAACAGAACTGAAGGGGCAGGAAGGGGAATGTGGGCGGGGCCACCCGGGCCGGGTGTCCAAGCACTTAGGATGTTCAAAGGCTCAGAATGCGGAGGACTTCCTGCCCATCCTCAGGGTTGGCTTGGTCAGCACTGCTCGGACTCTCCCTGCGTCCTTTCCCTATGTGTACTGGGCCCCTGGAAGGCAAGCTCCCAGAGTGGGTCTGCACCTCCTGGCCCCAGTGTCTATGGATGGGCAGTACCTGTCCACAGGTGGAGTGGGGAGAACAACAGAGGGCAAGTCCATGGTGTGGACTGTACTTCTTCTGGGGTGGCCTGGCTGGAGCAGCTCTGCAGGATGAGCTATATTCTAGTCCTACTCTCCCCTTTCCCAGCTGGAGACACACACTGGGACTGGCTGCCCATCTCTAGCCCCAAAATCAATCTGGGAATTGCCATGCAAAGACCTGACCATGTTGATTCCGCTACCACCCCCTGAGGGTCTTTTTCTAGCACTAGGATCTCCCTAAAGCCCCACTTCCTGCCCAGGCCTGGAAAAGGGACTCTTGGGCTGGGGTGCGGCCCAGGGGTGGAGCATTTGCCTAGCATGAGTTAAAGCTCTGGGTTCAGTTCCCAGAACCACAGGGAAAAAGAAAGAAGAAAGAAATTTGAATCAAATGTATGAAATATGATATGTCAAGAGCTTTGTCACGTTTTGAACAACTAATAATAATAAAAAAAAGAAAATTTTGAATAAAAGTGTTATAAGCATGTGTGCACCAAAAAAAAAAAAAAGAGGGAGGGGCCCCTTCCTATCCCCCTGGCTATCTGGCATCACACACAGGTTCCGGGACTTATTTCCCTCCAGAGGGGGCCCTTCTGCGCTTGCTTCTCCGCTTCTCTCTCATGCAGTCCCCACAATGACAAGGACACCTGTGCCCACTCTTCCCCTGCTCTCACTGTCGCGGATGCTCTGGGGAAGGAAGGAAAGGTCTACCCAAGGGCTTACCCAGAACTTCACGAGGAAAAAGGCATTGGAGGGTCCCCGTTCAAAGAGCTCCTTGAGCCCGCCCTTCTTCTCCGGGAACTTGTCGTAGATCTGGCGGATGTCCACGGCTTCGAGGTAGGGGTCGCTGTAGCTGGGGCTGGACTGGCCGATGTGCACGAACAGATGCTTGTTGTACTGTGGCAGGAAGAGTGGTCTGAGAGGGGTGCCAGGAGAGGCGGGCACACAGGTGAAGTGGACCAGAGCTGGTGCCTGCCCGCCATGTGACCTGGAGCAAGTCACTTCACTTCTCCCACAGGGAATACAGAAACAGAATGAATGTCTGTGATTCATGGTTCCTCTGCCAAAAACCAACTCAGAATGTCACAGCGGCATCCTGTCAGCAGCCTCCTCCAGTACTACTCTGGCCCTTGCAGGGGGTGCTGGTCACCCAAGATGTGGGACACTGAAGGGGCAATCCAAGGGTGGGCTGCCACTCCTTGCTGGTGCCTGAAAGGATGTGGATCAGACACAGGAGGCTTCCTAGCTTCCTGACAGCCCCTCCGAGGCAGGGAGTGGAGGGAAGGGTGTGGGGGCAGGGCTGGAAGGAGGGAGGAAGAACACAGGACAGGGCAGGGGCAGGAAGCAGGGGAGGGCTTGGGATGGAGGCACTGCAGCCTGCGGGGAAAGAGGGAGGACCAAGGCAGCCTAAGGAAGAAAGGGACGAGAGGAGGGAAGGGCTAGAAAGGAAGAGGAAACCAAGATTATGCCCAATGTGGCCAAGTGCAGAAGGGCAGCAGGCAGAAGCCAGGAGAGCTGAAGGGCGTGGGGGCAGAGGGCCTACCGTGTCTGGGTCCTGCTGCTGCTCCAGGAAGGCAGAGAACTCCAACATCCAAAGCTTGGAGCTGGCCACACTGCGGCCCTGCCATGGGGGTGCTGGGGGTGCTGAGGGCGATGGGGTGGGTCCTGCAGGAGACTCAAACCCTGCAGAGGGTGGGAGAGGCTCAGGAACCCATCCACCTGCCCTCCCTGCTACACCCCCTGCAAGGGCTCTGGGCCCCACAAGTGAGGACCATGCCTGATGGAAAGGGCAGTGCCAGGCACAGGCTCGGACGTCTCGGAAGGGCTAGCCTGGTACAGCTCAGTGGGTCAGGCCTCTGCACAGAACTGAACTCAAGGGAGACTGAATTCTGATGGGGACTGGGGGCCTGCTGGACAGCAGGGCCTCTAGAGCAGACACCATTGGGCTCTTGGTCTCCTGCAGCTTCTGGCCCAGGAAGGAAGATAACCAGAGGAAAACGATTCTTACAAAATGACAGGAGCCCCTGAAAGCAGAAGTTTTCTGCCTGGTTCCAGCACTGAGAAAGAACCTGGCTCAGAACAGGCATGGGATACAAGGTTGCTAAGGAATGAATGAATGAATGGGACAAAATTGACAAGGTGTGCCCCCAGCACCAAGAGGAGCTCCTAGCCCCCTTGGAAAAACTCTTTAACATTCAAAGGTGCTGTTTGAGAGAAGCAAGTAGGAAGTTCAGGAAGAAAGGGCATTCCAGACAGAATAGCAAAGGCAAGCGCGTGGGGCTGCAAATCGGCTCACTGAGGTTGAAACTCAACACATGGTAAAAATGGAGGGAGGAGGGAGTGGGTCAGGGGCAGTAAACTGAGGCTGCAGAGATGGCCTCTAGGGTGCATGGTCAACAGGATGGATTTTACCCGAGAGTCCAGGAAAGCCATTGGAGATCTGAGGCAGGGAGTGAAATACTCAAGTTGGATTTTTTTTTTTTTTTTTTAGTTTCTGGGCAAACACTCCACCACTAAGCTATAAGGGCAGGCAGGTGAGGCAGCTCCCTGGAGCAGAGGCACTGCCTTGGAACTTTGTGCAGCCAGGTAGCCCTGAGCACAGCTGGGGAGGAGGACAGCAGTACAGGCCTCCCAAGGAGGACAACAGCTTGGCACAGGGGTGAGGAGTACTCAGGGAATGCACTGCCAACTTACCTGGCAGAGGCAGTGGAGGCTGGACAGTATAGGTTTGTTGAGAGAAGGGTTTCACACTGTGGGAGAGAGGAGAAATCAGCGACCTCAAGCAGCGGCCAATGCCCTCTGGGTGGCAGGCCTGGTGACTGGCCATCAGTGAATCGTGGTGGCTTTGGTCTCCCATTCCCTCCAGTTAACTCCCTTGGCATGCATGTTGGGGCAACCCATCCTGTTCTCTCCTCCCTGGCCCACCAGAGAGCTGATTCTTAGGTTATTTCCTTTTGGATCCAAAGCCCTAGCCCCACCGACACCCTGGACAGACATGAGTTTCAGCAAGTGGTACCCCAGGGGGTCAGCATGAAAACAGAGCCATGTTGATGCCCAGGAGCAGGAGACTCAATCCCTAGGCTCAAGGCTATTCTGAAAGTCTGACCCCAGCCTGCAGCCCCACTCCTTCCAGGGGAGCCAGGCTCAGTCTCATGAGTCCTGTGTTCAGACTGGTTCAGGGAGCAACTAGTAGCAGAACAAGAAGGCCATACTCACTCATGGGATGTTCCAGCTTGGCCTGGCAAAGCTCCTTGCCAAAACTGAGGAGGCAAAAGGGGCAGGGTCAATTATATGCACACAGGGGCCCAAGGTGTGGGAGAGACAAAACTGGACCAAATGGGAGGAAGGAAAGCCAATGCCCTTGTCTAACAAGTAATGCCAACAGACTACAGCCGCATCCACAAAGTGTGTTTTCAGGTACATGAGTCTCTGGAAAGACTGTCAATAAGATACTCCATGGGGAAAAAAAAAAAAAAAAAAAAACACCTACGTTTGCTAACACTGCACACTGAATTCCCTATAAAGATTCACAGTGCACATGAGCACTTTAGGCTCTGAAAAATCCTAGAATCAAAAAATCGAGGCCAGGCACAGTGGCGCGTGCCTGTAATCTCAGCAGCTCGAAAGACTGAGGCAGGAGGATCTAGAGAGGCTCTAAACAACTCAGCGAGACCTTGTCTTTAAATAAAATATAAAATAGGCTGGGGGTGTGGCTCAGCAGTTGAGTGCCCCCGAGGCTGGGGTGCAGCTCAGTGGTACAGACTGGGCTTAGCATGCATGAGGCCCTGGGTTCAATCCCTAGCACCAAAAAGGAATTGATTTAATTCCAAGTGTCCCAAACTTACTTGCCCACACAATCATCTTGTGTCACATCTATTTAACATGCTATTTATTGGCCTACTGCTGTCTGGAACACACTCTGAAATACAATGGACAAGAAGCCCATGGACTACTATGGGGCCTGCCCCTTGTCCACAGGCCTAGGGCAGTGTGGCTGGTGCATCTAAGACCCATATGATCCCTACAGCCAAGACACAACTTGGGAAGGAGGAGTGTTTCTGGAACATTTTCTAAGTGTGGCCAACTTGACCATGGCTGAAAGGCTGGTCCTTAGGCTGAGAAATTGAAAATCTAAGCAAGGGTTTGTTTCTGGACAGCTCTCCACCTAGAAGTGGGTGGTGCTGGGATCCTGAGCAGGAGGAGTGGGGACAAGTAGTGGCCAGCTATGAGGACACACGGATGCTATGCTAAAGCCTCAGACTTCAGCTTCCTCATCTGTAAATTGGGCTGTCCCTTTCTCCTTGTTCAAGGTCTGCCATGTCACTGCTAAGGATCCCAAGAAGGTAGCTCCACCCACTGAGCCATGACTCGGGGTGGTCCTGTGCCCTGGCTTCCTCCTTCCCCGCTGGAGCTCCTGGGCGGATAGGACTCAAGTGAGAGTGGCTGCTGGACTGGCTGCTGCTCATATTTGTGTACAGAGAGGGGAGAGAGGAGAGAGGAGGACAAGGCTGGTCTGGCCTCTGGTTCTAGGCTGCCCCACTTACCCCTGAGACTGCTGGGTAGCCTGGGCCCCGGGCGAGGGCCATTTTATTGTGGAAAGCTGTGGCCGAGATGATCTGGGCGGACGACATGGCAGCCATGCTCTGCAGGGCCTTGTCCTTAGCTGCCTGATCCTGGGGGAGACATTGAAGGCAGTGCCTCAGTGAGGGGGGCACCTGTCAGGCCCAGGCAAGGTGGGTTCTGGCCTCGGGGTGACAGCACCTGTCCCACTGCCAGTGGCCAGAGCCTGGGAACCATATCTTAAGCCTGCAATGCCACTAACACATTTTATGACCGTGCATGCCACTGGGTTCTCTATGGATTCCCTCATCTGTCACAGCCTCCGCACACCACTTGTCCTGCTAATTCCATCAGAGCTCAGAGACTGTGGAAACCATGCCAGACTGTAGCTTTCTTCTTTCTTTCCTTCTTTCTCTCTTCTTTTTGGTAGTGCTGGGATCAAACCCAGGGCCTCGCACATGCTAGGCAAGTGCTCTACCACTGAGGTATATCCCCAGCCCTGCATTTCCATCTTAATAACCAAGAGAACATCTTAAAAACAGGGGTCTTGGGCTGGGGGTGCAGCTCGTGGTAGAGGCCTTGCCTAGTACACACAAGGTCCTTGGTTCCATCCATGGCACTGCAAAAGGAAAAAAAAAGAAACCAAGAGTATATAGGTCTCTTGTGCCTCGTCCACCACTGTACTCTGAACCTCAGCACCTGGATGCTGGTGGATGATGCCTAAGTAGCTGTTGGATTCCATGCTCTGCAGGGCCTTGTCCTTAGCTGCCTGAAGAGGGATCATCTTTGTCCATATGGACTGTGTGGAGGAGAGGACAATTTCTTAGGCCCTACTTGTCTCATCCTGCCCTTTGCACTATAGGCACTTAACTTTTCATATGTCAAAATGTAAATAAATATCCCTGCCTGTCTCTGTGGACTCAGAGGGTCCAAAGAATGCGTTCAGCCTGCTCAGACCTGAATAAATAGGCACTTAGAAAAGCCTTTAATATCACACTAATAACAATAATCACCAAGTTGGGAGTGTAGCTCAGGGAGTAGAGGGTCCCTCTAACATATGAAAAACCCTGGGTTCAATCCCCAGCAGTACAAAAACAAATAAGTACACGATAAATAAATAATTTGGGGTAGAGGAGCACCTGCAATCCCAGGTTCTCGGGAAGCTGAGGCAGGAGAATCACAAGTTGGAGACCAGCCTGGACAACTTAGCAAGACCCTGTTTCAAAATAAAATTTTAAAGGGCTGGGATATAGCTCATTGTCAAGAGCACTTGCCTAGCATGCATGAGGCCCTGGGTTCAACCCTCAGTGGAAGGAAAGAAGGAAGAAAGAAAGGAAGGAAGGGAGGAAGAGAGAGAGGGAGGGGCAATAACAATGTTACATAAGCTCAGGTAATCTTCCCTCACTCTCCAGTCTTTAAAATTGATAAGACTTGGGCTGGGGTTGTAGTCCAGAGGTAGAGCACTTGCCTTGCAAGCATGAGGCACTGGGTTCGAGCCTCAGCACCGCATAAAAATAAATGAATAAAAATAAAGATATTAAAAAAAATGGTAAGACTTTCTCTCCTTCTTTTGTGCTGGGCGTGGAACCCGGAACCTTGTGCACGTTGCTAAGTACAGCACATACTTTGCCACTGAGCTCCACCCCAGCTATGATGAACTTGTGTGTGTGTGTGTGTGTGTGCATATGCACATGCTACTGGGTATTGAACCCATGGACTCATACATGCTAGTCAAGTGTTCTGTCACTGAGCTACAACCTCAGCCCTTGGGAAAAAATTCTTTTAAATTCCAAGATAGGGTCTCACTAAGTTGGCCAGGCCAGCCTTGAACTTGTAATCCTCCTGCCTCAGTCTCTTGCAAAGCTTGGATTAGAGGCACATGTAAACATGCCCAGCTTTATTCCTTATAAATTACCCAATCTCAGGTATTTTGTTATAGCCACAGAAAACTATCAGAGTCCAGACTGGCACAGAGTGGGCTTTGTCAACCAAGAGGACAGTGGCAGACATGTCAGGGCCTACAAGCCCTGGAATGGAAGACGTGGGAAACATGCTGAGTGCTGACATCATCTGTCACTCAGGCAAAGCAGTGAAGTAGATGATGTTTGAAAACAGAGGTTTGTCATTGGGCCCCTCCCCAATGTCTAGGGTCAAAACTTGGGCCTGGCTCTCGGAGACTGTCTCAAATAACCCCAGAGGCAGTAATAAGTAGAGGTGTGCCTCCTCCTAAGGAAAAGCCAGCCCGGGCCTCTTCCTCCCGGAGATATGAATGACCTGGCAGGCTACACCCCCCGCCAGACACACACACAGAGACCTCTGAGAAGAACAACTACATCATGAGGCCAGAGAGCTCGTGGCTCTATGCCAGCAGTCTTCGTCCCTTCCCGGATCCCCACTCTAAACAAATGACTGCGCCTCAGGAAACCATGTCCTCAGTGGGAGAGGCAGGAGTCAGGAAGAAGTAGAAAGGACATTATGGGGAGTGACATCAGTGGCCAGGCAGCAGAGTAGGGTCATTGAATTTTGCAGCTGGAGGGAACCTCAGCTATCACCTTTCCACATGGCCCTGTCATTTTACAGATGAGGAAACTGAATGGCACTCAGGGAAGTTGTGTGACTTTCCCATGTACCTGTGGCCACAAAGGTAGAGATAGAGCTAGGACCAAACCTCACAGCCTGAAGATTTCTACCTGGCCTCGCTGTCCACCCCAGAGCTTAATAACTTGGGCCCCAGGACCCCCCTTAGAAGTAGGACAAAATCTTCATGCCCACCTCTCCAGCAAAACGCACATATAAATGAAACTGCGTATTTTAAGCGTTTTGTGGTTCCCTTTGGTGGCTGTCTGGCAGTCCACAGAAGGCTATCGTCAGCCCCAAGTTAGAATGTGTGGACAAGGATGTATGCAATTTCCTAAGTGTGGGTGGGACAGTAGCCCCAGGGGACTTAAACCTTCCCTGGGGTGCTCTAAACATAACACTGCAAAGTCTGTCCTCCACTGCGACCTGCTGGGGTCCCAGGGAGTCAGCGGCACACCAGAGAAGGGACATGAGGAGCAAGCAGGGCTCCAGGGCTGGGGGTGTTCCAGGGAGGGATCCACAGCTGCAGCCAAGCCAGCTGTCCCAGGGACAAAGGGACGAGGTGTTGGGTCACAGCTGTGGGGCGTGGGGGACAGCTGGGTTGATGGCACAAGGAATGGAACTGGGCGGGCAGTGGGCCGTGGCTTCCTCAGAGGCAGAAAGAGCTGCAGTTCCCACCCACTCAGTCTGGGGCACAAGTGTCAGGATCATGGGCTACTGGGGCCAGATGGGACGTTCAAGGTCATCTAGTCCAGTGCTGTTGAGGTTCTCAGTCAGGTACAAGAGGCTGCACAGAAGGAGGGGGTCTCTGGCCTGTTGATATTTCGTTTGGGGAAAATAATAAAAGGGACTTTTGTTGGTTTTTTTTTTAATTTATAAACTATTAATTTAATTCAATGGTCCAAATGTTAGAGCTTCCTTTCAAGAGGCCAAGCAGGCTTGGTTGTTAACAGCTCCATGACAGGGAGCTCACTCCCACAGAGTATTCACCAAAGGGTCTTTGGTTCCACAATCCAGGAGGCCTGACTTCCCGAGGGAAACCCTGCCAGCAGCTGGCCTTCCACAGAGCAGCCACCTGTCACAGAGGCCCTGCAAGGCGGGCTGATACAGGGAGGGGAAGAAACGCCTAGTCCCAGAAAGCAGGGAGCAGGAAGGAATTCCGCCAGCCCCTCCCCTCCCATAATAACACCAAACTCTGCCACCCCCACAGGCTGACTGATGGCCCTGAGAGGCCTGTGGGGGTCCCAAGAGGGCCAGTGGCTTGGGGAGTTCTTCAAGGAAGGGGACTAAAGGTTGATCCAACTGTGCTGAGCTAGGGGAGCTTCCTCTGAGCTAGGGGTTGGGCACAGCAGGAGGCAGCCTGTAGCTTCCTGGGACTAGAGACCAGCAACCACACAGGGCTCCAATGTCCAGCAGAGTGTGGTCACAGGACCCCAAAGCAAAGAAGCACACGAGCTCTGCACACAAGCAGCCAGCCCCTGAACCCACAGGGGAGACTTTCCTGCTGGAGAAAGAGCCCCAGTTTCTGAGAAGCTGACTCCACCTGAAACCAAAGCACCCCCCCTCCTCCCGCAGCTCCTGTCTGCCTTACCTTGAGCTTGGCCTGGATCTCTCGGGCTTTGCGACGAGCCAGCACCTGGATGTGACTGGAGACCTGTGGCAGGAAGAGAAGGCTCCTGTCCCTACCTCTCATACAGCCTGTGCTCCCAGACCCTGGGCCCTCAGCCACATCTGTGCATGGACTGACTGAATGACAGGATCTAGGGGTGGTGCTCAGTCCCGTGAATCCCCAGTTTGCCAACACTTTAAAAGTGTAGTGCCAGGGTTTTGACATCTTTTCTAATGTCCCCAAGAGAGGCTGCTGTTTCTTCCCAGGGGATGACAGGAAGACCCTCCCCCCCAGGGAAGCTGGACCATGTGTGTCACACCCGCCCCCCACTGCCCTGCCCCTGGGGTCCATGCCCGCCTCCCCCAGCCCACCTGCTTCCTGGTGCGGGTCTTCCCTGTCCGGAGCTTGATGTAACGGGCAATCAGCTCATTTCGACCTGCAGCAAGTGACAACAATCTCTTGGTGGGGAGGAGAGGACAGAAGGCAGAGAGGCAAGAAAGCAGGGGGACAAGAGGGGCCCTTCCCTGGAAGAGCCCTTTCCTTCCTGTCCACCTTGGGTGGGACTTGGGGTGAGAGACCACAGGGATCGCCCAGCAGCAAGAGGACACAAGGCCTCACTGGGTGGACTGGTGACCTGAGAAGAAAGAGGTCACAGCCCAAGGAGCCTCGCAGAGCCTCCCAACCCCCAGCCTTGTTCCCCATCCCATCCTGGCCTCCTCTTCATCTGGGTCCCCACAACAGGCTCAAGCCACCTCTGCCCCCACCTCCGTCCGGGGCTCCAGAGTAGTGCCTGACCCTTGGCCCTTTCCATCTGAGATTCCCATAGTTCCTACTGCCTCTGAAAATGAGCAGAACCTTCCAAGATGTCCTGTCTGTGACTAAGGAAGGTCCTGGGAGGCACACTACTGAGACTGAGTGTCCCCAGACAGCAGGCCTAGGTCCTTCACTCAAAGACCAGAAATCCCAGCCAGGGGCGTAGCTCAGTGGTGGAGCACTCCCCAGGTTCCTACAAAGCCCTGGGTTCCATCCCCAGCACAACAGGAGCAGGGTGAGGGCTGGGGGTGCACCTCAGTGGTAGAGGGCTTGCCTAGTATGCTCACTGCCCAAAACAAGGAAACAAACAAATCCAGCCAACCCCACCTCCAGCCCTGGTTCTGACTTAGGCCAGTCAACAGGCAGCACGGAACACTCCCAAGGCCTGGTGGCCTGGAGGTGACGCTGTATCTGCAGGACCCTGGCCAACTACAGAAGCCCTCCAAGTCTTCTATTACCCTAAATGAGCTCATGAAGATGTTCCCCCAATGAGTTCCCCACCTAGTAATGGGGGGCATGTGCTCACACATGGTTTGAGTGCTTGCTAGAGGCAGAGGTGTGTTCAGAGGATGAGGATCTGTTCAGGCTGCTGGATGGTGGGGCCTCTCTGCTTTGGATCATGACCCACTGGGTAGGATTAGACCACACAGAAGAAGATGGTGAGGGAGAAGGAGGGCGAGAGGTCTGGGATTGGGGGATCTGTCCATTGCCTCCTAGCTCCAGCTCTGGGGCCAGAGGGCAGAGCTCCAGCCTGCCCTGTGCTGCTGAGGCTGGAGTGGCCCACGAGGAAGCTGCTGATAAAGGGGGACGTGAGCCGAGCGGGCTGTCTGCCACCTGGGTTGTAACCAGCGAGCCTGGCCAAGACCAAACTGGCCCCCCAGCTGACCTTTCCCCACTGCCAAGCCCGAATTAAGAGGCCACCCTCAAGAGGTCCTGTCTGCCAGAAAGACTTGCTGGCTAGGAGAACTGGCTTGTCTGTGTCCAAAGGAGAGAGGAGAGGCTCAGGCTCAGACTCAAGGAGACACTGCCCATGAGCTGCTCTGCACCTAAAACCATGAGTCCAGCAAGAGGTCTCTTCTCAAAGTTTTTCAGGGAAAGGAACCTCTGTCAGTCCAATGAATGTCCCACAGTTCTGCTCCATGTCTAACTAGAGGCACTCAGTCTGCAGCTATGAAATATAAGGTCTAATTATATATAATTACCACTGGGTTACTGAAAAAGGACCACCAGCCTGGAAGGTAGGAGCTTGGCTGGAGCCCACAACTCCAAGAAGGAACTGAGACCCTGACAGGTCAGCTCCCTCCGAGGACCTTCACCCAGCCTTCTCTTCTTTAAATCTAGTTTCTTTAAGTTTTTTCCCTCCAGGTTCAACCAACCAAATTTTTACAGACTTAGGAAACAGACCTTAACGCTGACCCAATGAGAACACTCTGTGGCTTTGCCTCCTTCTCTGTAAAATGAACATGTTCTTTGTCTAAATAAGCAGGCAAATCAGAGACCAGTCCAGAGGCAAAGAGAGGGCTTCTGCACACCCACAGGCTGACTGTAGCACTGCGGGATGAGGTGCTGAGGAGTGGGAGAGCCTCAGATGGGTGGTGGGAGAGCTGGAGAGATGGGGATGGCAGGGGGTACTTGGGAGAATATCTAGGGGACAGTTCTTGTGCTACTCCTCTGGCCCACACCTTGCACACAGTGAGCAGCTATCAATTATCTCTGCTAATTAGACTTTCAGTGCCTCAGAGGAAGAGCCCACACCCTCATTCAAGTCTGCATCTCCAACAACTGGCACATACTGAGTGCCTGAGTGAATAAATGACATGCGTTTGCCATGGCTCTCCCTTCAAACAGAACTGGGCTGCTGCTCATCCCCATAGCTACCATGGTCCAAGCTACCACGCTGTCTGCCTGGCCTGGACAATGAAAATCTCTCTCCACCTGGATTCCACACTCCCAGTCTGTTCTCAACACATTAGCTGCAGTGATTCAATTAAAATTCAAAAGCTGCCAGACTGGTGCATGCCTGTAACCCTGGTGGCTCACGGAGTGAGGCAGGAAGACTACAAGTTTAAAATCAGTCTCAGCAACTCAGTGAGGCCCGAAGTAGCTTAGCAAGACTCTGTCTCAAAATAAATATAAGGGTTGGGTTGTAGTTAGTTCAGTGGCAGAGTGCTTGCCTCACACATGTGAGGCACTGGGTTCGATCCTCACCACTACATAAAATAAAATATTATTGTGTCCATCTACAACTAAAAATTAAATATAAAAAATAAATAAAATAAAATATAAAAAAGAGTTGGGGATGGGACTCTGTGATTAAGCACCCCTGGGTTTAATCCCTGGTACCACCCCCCCCAGCAAAATGTTTTTTTAACCACACCCCCCAAACAGCTCCCTGGCTTCCATCTCCCTCTGATTAAAAGTGGCCAAGACCTACCAGGTGCAGTAGTGTGCACCTGCAGTCCTAGCTACTAGGGAGGCTGCAGCAGAAAGAGTGTGGGCCCCGAAGCTGGAGGCCAGCTGGGCAAGATGTAAAAAAAAAAAAAAAAAGCAGTAAAAGTGTGAAAGTCCTTGTGACGGCCTGAAAGCCCCTTCAGGATTTGTCCCCCCTCTGTGCAGGTCAGGCATCTCTCTAATGCCATCCGCCCCACCGTCCTGACCTGCTGTTCTGGGAACTTGTGAGGCCTTTGCACTTCCTGTTCCTCCTTCAGGGGAATATTCAAAGAGACCAATACAGCTCACCATCTTCAAGTCTCTGCTAGGGTCTGCCACAGCCTCGTGGCTCAAATGCCACCAGATGCCGTGTCTCAGGAGGTCTTCCCTGATCATGTCACTGAGTACCCAATCACCCTCCTACTTCACCCTAGCACTTCCTATTGTCTGCACTTTCCTCTGCAGCGCATTTTGAGGGTGGGGCGATTGAACCCAGGGGCACACTACCACTGAGCCACCTCCCTAGCTCTTTTTTATTTTGCAACAGGGCCTAAGTTGCTTGGGGTCTTGCTAAGTCATGAGACTGGCCTCAAACTTGTGATCGTCCTGTTTCAGCCTCCCAAACTGCTGGGATTACAGGTGTGCACCACCACAACTGGCTTTGAGTTTTTCTATACACGAACAAATCTAGAATTTTCAGGGCCCAAGGCATTCAAAAATTAGGAGGCTCTCTTTGAAAAAAAAAAAAGAATGAGAAGTACAAATTGATTAAAAACTCTTAGTTGGGGATGCACTGGCCCAGCCATATGTAAGGCCCTGGGTTGGGTCCTCAGCACCACAAACAAACAAACAAAAAAAAAAACCCCACATCTGGGAGCGATGGCTGTGTTCACTATCATGATGGCGGTAAGGGCTTCACAGGTACACATCTAACAAAACTAAAATTCAGTTTAGGGACATGGAAGGGGCTCATACAAGTAGGAACTCCTGCAGCATAAGCCTCGTGCTCTTCATGGTAAACCCGCCCCCTCCCTACAGCAGGTAGCAACTATACCTATGTGCCATGCAAGTCAACTGAAACCAGGGGCTGGGGATATAGCTCAGTTGGTAGCTTGCCTGGCATGCACAAGACCCTGGGTTCAATCCCTAGCAACACACACACACACACACACACACACACACACACACACACACAAAGGTGGAGAAAAGAAATACAATTAATTAAGGGGAAAAAGAAAGAAAAGAAAAGAAAGAAAGAGAGAAAACTGAAACCAGAAAGTCCCATCCCGACCACCCACCAATACATCTCTGACTGCCCAGCTGACTCTTGGCGAGGCCACTTGCTTATGGCCCTACCTGGCGCAAAGAGGAAGCTCAGTTAATGCCGTGCCTTTCACAGACCAGGCAGGCCTGACCCCTAAGGCAAGGGGGCTTGTTCCTCAGCACACAGAAGCAGACCTGGGAGGTCCTACCTGCCACTGGCCAAGACCCTCATTCCAGGCAACATGGGACACTCAGCCTTGTGGGCCAGGAGCCTATCCCTGCCCTGCAGTTCTGGAGGACTCTCCTGCCAGAAAGGCCATCTTAGCCCTAGGCAAGAGGCCAGCTGTGGGTTTGAGCCAAACCCAAGGGGTTTACACTGTCTCTGAATTTTTTTCTCACTATATTTATGGGGGTACAAAGTGATTATATGTCTAAAATGTGGAATGACTAAATCAATCTAATCATCATTTCAAATCTCATTTTTCATGGTGAAAACATTTGTAGCTCAATGGCAGACTCCTGTGCAAGGCCCTGGATGTGATCTTCAGTAAAGGAAAGGAGAGAAGCAAGGGATTTTGAAAAATGTTCTTTTTTTGTGGTACTGAGGATTGAGCCTCAAGGTCTTTCACTACTGAGCTACACCCCCAGCCCATTTAACATTTTATTTTTAGATAAGGTCTTGCTAAATTGCCAAGGTTAGCCTCAAACTTGCAATCCTCCTGCCTCAGCCTCCAAGTCTCTGGGATTACAGGTGTGGGCCACCACACCCAGCTTATAATACACTATTATTAACTAGTCATCCTACTGTGCAATAGACTCAGTAGGTCTGAGTCTATTGCACAGTAGGATGACTAGTTAATAATAATGTATTATATACCTAATTAAATATATATAATACATCATTATATAACTAATCTAATTATCTTTGTG